GTTTATTTCTTTCATGGCCTTTGTTCTTAAATGTAAGTGTTAAAGGTAGTTAGAGGAGTGCGTCCACACACCTATAAACATGCGTGCTGTATGTCTCCTGCAGCCCAGAGCGAGTCTGGTGACATCGATGAAGACGCCGCTTTCTATTCTGATGATTCTGATGACATCATCGTGTCTCCGTCACGCCCATCGAGAAGCTGAGTAGTCACTAAGTATAGTTACTGAGTATAGTTACTAAGAAGTTTAACTTCTTACTGAACCTGCAAATAAAAGCTGGGCTGTTCCAATAATGTTTGTAATATCAATAACAATATTCACTGTGTAACACGAGCTGCTCCCACGCCAATGCCAATAACAGGAATATTCTCAGAATGTGTCTCAGTGTTGATGTAAGGTTATGAGATGGGTTTTTTTTTTCTTTAATCAGACAAGAACATAAAACGAACAGCCCATTTTTGTTGAGTGTGTTATTCTTGAGCCAAATATCTCTGTTTAATTAGTCAGATTTATTTTTGTTTCTTTTTGCCTGCTGCATGGGAATTCAAATTGAAATTACAGTAATAAATGCATTTATTTCTGCTAACCTAGCAGGCATCACTTTAAATTCATCTGGCTTCATCAGGCTGTAATAATCCATAAAATCACATTTGCACATGCCTCATTTGGTAATACATGAAAGTCAGCACACTAATATATGTTGCATGCTTAGTTCGTTATAGCTGAGTCTGCGGTGTGGTTGAGGGACAGCTCTTAACTGATGCACTATTGAGCCAAACTGTGAATAAGTTATAGATCAGGCTGCTGCAATACTGAAACGGTGAGAGCAGGGGAGGATACACAGGGACTGTGACTAATGCCAATAATACTTGTGCTTTAAAACAGACAAATGAGTCAATAAAATCAACGATCGAGTGCATTTGTCTCCACATGATCAGTGTAACTTAATTTCTGATACAGTAAAATGTTTTTCTAATAAAATCTCCAGTCTCATGTGGTCCTTCCCAGAAACTATTACCTGTACTTACATTTTGTGCTTATTTTCCCAAACACTTCTGAGAGAAGTAGCATGTATTTTAAAAATGACAATAATTCAAAATTGTTAAAGGATATATGAATGGTACCCCCTATTTTTTTTTTTTTTGTTACACCCTTTGTGTCCATACACCTCTTAATGTTTGAAGTCAGCTAATATCAGTTCCACTGTGTATAAAATCAAGCACATAGCCATGCCATCTGTCTTTACAAACCTTTGTGAATAATGTGTAGTTTTAAAGAGATGGCTGAGTGTGGTGCTGTAATAGGAACCATAACAAAAGCTGGTTGAGGTGTAGTGTGAAAAAAATCACCAACACTCTGCTGACTTTATAACTGCACAGCTCCAGATCTGCTCTGGCACTGAGGATTGTACAAAAACCTCCAACAGTATCATGATCAAGAGTTTTAGCTCAAACAAAAGAGAAACTCTTTACTAAAACTCCTCAGAATAGTGACAGAGTTAAGTGTCATTACTCCATAATGTTGTTTATGGATCTCTTCTCATGTAGAGAATAAGTCTGAGAACAAA